CAACGTCGTCGGCAACACTCGAACACTCGTCAGGGGTTTCCTGGACCGTTTTCTGCTCCGCTTCATCATCGTTCAGATCGGGAATCGTGGAAGTAACGACACTAACGATCTCTTCGGATGCTGGAGGCGAAGAAACTGGACCTTGACGCGGGGAACACTGCTCTGAGATACTGGAAGCTGAAACTTCGTTTTCCTTCAACAGATCGTCCATTTCTTCCGAGACAATGCCTTCGGTGACGGGTTCAGAGGTTGTTTCCACGGACCCACACAGAGGAGTAGATGAGGGAGTCTGCACGAAACAGGGCAATAATAATTGAATCAAAGAAATATTCCAGTTCTCGCAAATAAAAATCAATTCAACGTTTGCTACAGCCACTGCACACCATAACTCATCAGCAAAAGGCGTCCAAGCGTCTACGAACTTATCAGGGAAGGCGCGAAGTTCAAAGAGAACGAGTAAAGCAGGAATCATGGAAAATCGGCGCTGATTCATAAAAAAAGACCATTTCAACGAAATAACCTTTCGTATTCTACTTTTGATCTGACGCATCATCTTTGACTGCCTCAAGCACATGTACTACGCCATAGAGAACAGTTCTGAACACTTGAAACAAGAACTCAACTGCAGTCGAACCTCTCCAATTCGAAGTCCACGGATCAGTTAAAAATACTGTACAAGCATTTTTATCGGGGGAAAAAAGAAAAATTGCAGAAACTTGTAATTAATTATATTCCGAGCCTTAAATTGCTTCTTGAATGAGTTGACAGGATGCTAAACTTGGAGGCAAGTGATCATTTGATCAATTAGTCTTTTGCTTGAGTTAGTAGAGGGTTTTAATGCATGGTTTCTCACAGCATTCAGACAGGGACTTGGAAAGTATTTGAAATAAGGTTGGAATCCGACTTCGAGATTCAACTGCAGTTGATACTGCTTATTAAATTGCGAAAATTTCAGAAAGCAAACCGTCGTCATGTCTTGGGACACCGAAGTTGAGACCATAATCGGTGAGGGTGAATCTGGTGAGGGAGAATGAATGCTGATGGAAGAAACGACATCAGCTCCCATCTCGTCCGAGTCGAGTTTCTCTTCCAAAGCTTCCAAGTGCTCCATTTCGTCCTGCTCGTGTTCTCGAAGAGTCAGGATTTCATCCAAAATGGACGCATCAAACTGGGAATCGGTTCCGTCTCCCGAATGTAAATGATCACTCGGATGAGCCAGAGATTCCGCTTCGGGAACACGAGGTGGAGAGTTTGACGCGATGAGTTCATCAGACGGACTTCCCGGACAGCTATTCTTCACGGTTTCCTCACAGAAAAGTACATCACGTCGCAAGTTGCACATATCGCTGGAAGGATCGTTTTTGTCTTCGGCTTCGGCACCCTGAAGCTCAGCGTCCAAATATTCCTTCTTTTGTGTCACATCCCCTTCACTATCCATCGACTCGAATCGCGGGCAGTCAGGTTCTGTCATGTCAAAATCCGTTTCTTCCTCAACACAATGCTTCGAATCCAGGTCAGACGAGGGATCGATGATGGTGTACGGAATGATGCTTTCGGCTGGCAAGTTCACTTCATCATGCTTGTGCACATCTTCGGGAATCGCGAGAGGGTCGGTGTCAACCGTGGAATCGTCGTGAGGCAAAACATCTACATTCGAACAATCTTGAATATACGCGTGGTTTTCACTCGAGGGTTTCCCGAAGCGACCTTCCACGCTGAGATCATGAGTTTGCTTCCAGAGTTTCGACGTCCGAATGCCAAAATGGGTCATCAAGGCTTCCGAAGTTGTTATGTCTTCGTCAGAGTAATCCTGATTGTACTCCGAAGAGCCTTCATCAGACACATCGTCTGCTTCTTCTTCGCTTGCCTTTTGGCCCCAGATCGGTTCGAAATGTTTCATCTACAAGAAAAAGTATTCCATGAGACACAAGCTCACTCTTCAAAAGATATAGCAAACGGAAACCTCACCTTCCAAGGATCCATTTTTGATCGCCGCTTGTCCCCTTCTGCTTGCATTCGTTGTTGGTTATCCGGCGTGAACTCGCCTTCGACAAGACGTGACTGCCAATCCTGACATGCTCTCGCGAAGAACTCATTATTGAGAGCTGAATCACTTGGCCTGTGCGAAATCGGTCCAAAACTACAGTTGCACATCAAATTTTGAGTGATGGTAAACGCTCACCTTGACAAAGAGTCATCTGTGTCAAACACGCGATCACACTCGGGAAGCAAATCGACGAGTTTCTGCTGCATATTAGACGGAAGGGCAGCAAACGTGCCCCGGTTCATGAGCATCCGGAGATCAACTTGAGATAACACGGACTCAGGGGTCTCAAGGTCCAAAATTCCCTTCCGAAGATGTACCAATTGTGTGCCGACGGAGGTGGACGCCTTTCTGATCCGTCGACGACTGACTGCCGCAGACGAAGTGCCTCTGGCATTACTTGTAGAGCGGCCCGAGCGACTTTGCCGAAGCACTGGTTCTCTTGATTTCGAACCATGTCCAAGAGACATGGTTCTCTCTTCGCTTTCACTTCCGTCACCGAATAACTGTTCGTGAAACCGGTCAGATACCTTGGCAAACTTCCACCGAGAACGAAGGTATCCAACATTGAATCAACAACTACACCGTTCGCCACGATTTCAAACGGTCACCGGAGTAGCCCTAGGATTCATGCTCTCAGAACATCTGAAAATCGCGCACAGCGTCATTCAATTCAAATGCAGTGGTGACGATAACCTTGATATGAGTTCATTTCGTAAAGTTAAAATTGGAGGTCCCTTTGATCACATACTTGCTGATAGCATCGCACCTTCATTGTCGGGATGAAGTACTGCATGTTTAAAAATCAGAAAATCACTGAGAAAAACCCATCTACGATTCTTCAGCCAGTATTGAGACATCATAAGGTACTCCTGGAATCAATTTCAGGTCACCATATTTCCTTCCCAGAAAGAGTGAAAACCTTTTTGATCGTGATTTTCTCTCTCGTCCTGTCTGGAATCAAAATTCCAAGAGATTTCATTCCAGGCAGGTTTAAGCCAAGCAATCTTGATGAAAGCCGTTCTTTATCTTTCCAATCTTCAGACAATATAATTCAGTTCTGAAAGGTTGGAGGGGGAACACTTCGCTATCATCATGAAAATTGTCGAAAACAAATTAAGCGACTACTGGTTTCCGCGGAAGTTATACACTGTCTCAACTGCGCGGCACGGTTTTACACGCACCAAGTACTTCGACGAACCATCATTGGCCACATCACTAACGAAAATGCACTTTGAGAAGTGCTGAAATCCAGCAAACATTAAAATCGATACTTAAATCACACACATTGACAGGAACAATCCACACGGGAATTCCTGATCCTGGACGATTTCAAGAATGCCTCCACCACATGCTTAAAATTTGAATTCACTTTGTTGGTAACTTCACAATGGCTAATCAGTTCAAAGTTGAATAATAGGTACCGAGCAATAGGCAGAGTAACCTGAGGCACATTTGACGAAGTACTGGTGATGAACAGTTACTCATTTCATTGTTATAGCATTTGGGTGCTTCGGGATATTAGCCAGACCACCAGAAACCTCAGTATTCCTTCCATCGTTTCACTGGGCGCCGGCATGTTTTACTTCTAGTGCCATCTAACCGTCAAAGTTGTACTTCTCCTCGACTCCGGATTTGGAGAGATTCATTGTTCAATGTTCCGTTCATAGATGGCGACAGTGTCAAAAGTCATGGCGGCGCGCGTGGATTTTTCGGTGGGTCACCTCTGGTGTACAAGTGCCGATTTGGTCGTGTCTGATGAATTTATTTCATCTGTTGAATACGTCTTCCTGTCCACTTCAGGCTGCAATGAGATGTCCACTCAAATCGTGACAGACGTAATTTTAGTTGGATTTACTGCACTGTAAACGCAAACCCTCAAGTCTGTCACTAGTGTGCGTGAAAGAGAGAGTGATGAGGATAGGGAGTGAGGGGATGGGGGGTGCAGTGGCGCGGAATTTCCCTGGCGTGGCTTCCTTCTCCGGCGAGAAACTACACCACCGCACATGTTCACGGCTAAACCAGCACAGACTACTTAAATAAAGTAGACAACTTATGCAGAAGGACAGGTGAAGTCCGACGTTACTCTACAGGTGAGTTTAGCACTGTCTGCATTAAAATCAACCTAACCAATTGTGCACCGTGGTATGCATAATCGCTGTTGGGTGGTACCTGGTATGGTTCATGTTTCTGTCGCGATTCAAGTTTGTACGAGAAATTTTCACGAGTACGACGGGAAACTCTGACGTCCTGAAAAATTCTGCCGTGGCGGAGATCAGACTTGCTCGAATACGAGCTCGAAGAGCACGTGTCGAGAGGTGAGGCAAATGCTCATAACTTGGCAAGGTGTGATGGAATCAGGAAAGAAATACCCTGCGTTTAACTTTGATCGTGTTACTATGTTTAATACGATGACGTGATATATTTGCATTCGTGCTGAATTTCAGTACAGTAATTTTAACGATTAGATCACGTTCTTGAATAGTGGGAGATGTGTTATATTCATTCATTCCGCAGATGAAACGGTCACCTGAAGAATGAAATCTGCAAGATCACGGGAATGTGGAGGGTTCTTCCGAATCTATGATGAATTTTTGGGATTTGCACCTTCCTATTCTTTCCTGGGCATTGACGAATCAGCGAAAATGTATGCCCGAGTCGTGAAATTCAACCAAGGAGCTTCAAATCCATTTCCTTCGCGCAGACGCCGCATTTGTAAGGGAGACCTACGTGTTGTGCACTGCTTCTTGAGAAAAGAGGATTTCACGGTTGACGTTATTGGAAAGACATTGTGTTGTGTTCGTGAGCACGCCTTGTTTTGTGGCTTCGCGGAAACAGCGTGAAGTCGATGTGACTTCATATTGTTTCGTCAAAGGAAAAAAAAACTATTGTGATAAAGACGAACGATTCAAATTACGGTTGACATCGATTTATGCTGCTGAATTTTCAGTCTAATAAGCAAGTGGCTTTGTACCCGATTCATGGTCTGGGTGGAAAATTAATGTTTTGTCTCGAGAAGAATGGCGTCTCAATATTTGCCTGAATGCGGAAATGTAGAGAAATTACTTGAGCTGTTTACATTTTCCTATGGATATTTATCGATAGGGCTCTTCATTCTTGCGTGAAGTGTCCTTTATTCCACCTTGTTTGGTCGCACTGGAGTTGAAGTAACCTGAACCCCGTATTCGCCTTTTTCGCGATTTATTTATTTGACGTAGTTCTGAATGAGCCTGGCAGGTCGATTGCTATTCGAGACTACGCAAAATTAGTCGTGCTAATTATGTGTGTCCCTTCTAAGCGACAGGTTTGACTCGGCATGCCATTTTTATGCCGATGAAGTGAAGACAGGAGACATGAGTGGCTCCCCTGGCAAGGGTCAAATCCTGATCCACGTGGGAGCAGAACGGCGTCCATTGTCGCTAAACGGGGATCAGACATTCATCGCTGAAGATTTGTGTAATTACGTCGGGAAATTGGTAGGAACAACGCCGAGATGTCGGCTGTTGTATGGACTGAAAGAAATGAAGCCCAACGGGGAAACCGTGTGGTTGCCTCCGAATCGTCGCATCATTTGCGAACCCGGAATGCCGCCAGTCGAGCTCAAGTTCCTCGTGAGGTTCCGAGCCCCCGTGGAAAGATTGGATCCGAAAACCATAGACATTTTCATCGGACAAATCCGAGAATACACGTTGACGGAAGAAACGAGTGGAGCTGCGGAAAAGGATGTGTTGGGGTTGTCAGTGCTCGACATGTACCGCGAAATGATGGAAAGCAACGTGCCGTATAGCACGATTATGAGTGATTACGGGAAATTCGTTCCGAGTCGCATCCGAAGGAAGCATTTGCATTACACTAAGAGAGCTATTGGCGAGAAGCTCAAGGCTGTGATGGAGCGGAAAGAGAGTGTTGATGGAGTTAAGAAGACTCACGTCAAATCTGCATTGGAATACTTCCCAAAGTTCATGTCGGAAGAGTATGCAGCGGAAGTGGAAGAGGCCGGAAAGAAAACGGCCTGCATTGTTCACGTGAACCCGTACGACCCGTTGTTTCCTGGGCTCTCGCATGGCCCCAAAAGCAAACATGACGTGAGTTGAGTTGCTTGGTCGTATCTACGAACTACAATTTCAATAGATTTCACCCGCGTGTGTTTCGCCGGCATTTTTTGAATTTTGCTGTGTTGTAAATCCTGAGTTCTTCTAGTCCTTAATGTATGTAAGTAAGTGAGGTGCCCGCTTTATTTTGCTGCTTGACAGTGTTCAGACGTCAGAAGATTCAAAAACTTGTAACCACGACCATTAGACTCCTTCTGGCCCACCAGAAGTAATTCACTACGCAGTTATTTGCAGAAAATGTATCACAGGACATAAGAATGCGTAAAATCAACATTATTTCTCAAGAATGATAAAAATCAACGAAGCCTGGGGCAATTGCTGAACATGGATTAAAACAGACGGTGTTCAGCCTGTTAATTTTCAAATAATTGGATATTTTTCAAATCTGTGACAAGTTGAAAGAATCTTTGAAGAGATATCACGCAATGCTTACACTTGATCTTCGTTTTCTAAGATTTGAGAGAGTACAGCTTCTTTTTATTAAAATGTGAAAACCCTATGCCTTGTGATAGTTCAATTCCTGTGGTGTGGAATACTAGGCATAAGGAAGGAAGGTGTTTTGGTGAAGCAGTCACCAATATATTTACGCTGTGATAATAACCCGAGTTACTTGAGTACCACACACCTTTTTGTCTCAAATTTGAAAGGAAAAAGTGGGGTGCCTATACGTTTTGCAATAAGTTTTAAAAGTTTGGGGGTCCATTACACTTGATTCTAGTGGGAAATTTTGGATAAAGTTCAACAGAAAAGATTTTTCTAATGGAAAAAGATGTAAATTTGTTCGATTCCTATTCAATTCATGTCTAAATTCAGCTTTTGGCATTCTTATACTGTATATGAAATAATTTGGTTTTAAATTCACTATAAATGGTATGTGTTTCTTACCCAGGGATAGGATTTATCAAAATTTTTCAACTGAAAAACCGTGGTGCATGTTTTACTTGAGGGTATGTGGTACTTGAGTAAATACAGTACAGTACACCACTTAGACCAGTGCTGCCCAATGTATGGTCCATGGGCAAGATCCATTCTGCAGCAACTATTCATCCATCTTCCAGGTCCTTCCATATAATTTCCAAGGTGACAGCCATCACTGTTTAATAGGTATATTTATTGAATTCAAAAGGGGAAAATTTTGTTGTATTCTTCAAAAATTGTGTTGGACTATGCTTGCGATACAATGCAAAGCACTAAATTGAATTTGAAAGTTGTAATTTAAGATGGGAACATTTGGAACCTCAAAAATCTTTTTCTTTTGGCCTGCAAGGACTCTCCATAGATGCAAATGGCCGAGTTTACAAAAAATGTAATAATGTAGCCCTTGGGTAGCACTGACGTGGACACTTGAGAATTCAATAAACTTAATGTTGAACCTTCCTCGTCTCCCTTAAAATCCATCCAATCTTTGATAAAGTCACAGCGTGAAAGAGGGCAATGTAAAGAGGAAGTGCTGTACAATACCTGCTTTGGTTGCATCTGTTAGAAAGTGCGACACTCACCACGAGCTACTGACAGAAATCACGTGACATCAAAACGAACGTTCAAAGCATGTCTCTGTTGAGTGAAAAAAGTACTGATCTCTCTCTTGCAGAAGCGCAAGTGGGTTTGCAAAATAGAGGATCTCATCTACGTGTGTCTTCGGGAGCTGGTTGCCGATGGGAAGCCGCGATTGCTGGTTGAAGTGACGAGAAAAGACGGACCTCCAGTGAATTTTCATTTCAATTCTCGTGATCACGCTGAAGCCTTTGTGAGTGCCTTGCATGGTTACTACCGTTTGCTGGAGAAGTGGTTCTTCAATCTTTCCCAAGAAGTGCCGTCTCCTTCGCTCGTTCGTTTGCGGAGGGACAAGGCCCATGGACCCGTGGGGTAAATATTTCCTCGCTAGGGTGTTTTGTTTTGAAAAAAAAAAAAATCAAATTTGCGAGTACTTAACAGTAGAATATCGTCACAAAGAATTCGCGGGGACTTCAGAAAAAGTTTGTCATGACACGTAAATTGTTATAACAAGATTTTATAAATTATTGACTGGGAAGATTGCTTCAAATTAAATCTGCATGTATTTGAACTCTTCCTTTTGTGGTCTTTTCAGATGTTTTTCCTTGTGTGAAAAACTGATCTTCAAAAAAAATTCAAATGTCAATAGCATGCATTTACTCTGAATAACAGGTACACACTAGCACTTTTCGTGGACTGCAATTTTTTCTAAGCTATTCCTGCAAAGATTTTCAAGGGTACTTGTTCCAAAAAGCTTTGTTGTTGAGCATCAGTAGAATTTCTCAAGCATCCAAACTCCAAACAAGTCCTGCACCCCTTTTAGCATGTGCTTTTCTGTGTTATTTTTTTCATACTTCATAACCCTTCTCCCTCCCTCCCCACACATTTCCAAACTCAGGAAATTTCTTTTGGAAGAAAGGATGTTCAGGTGACTTCTGAAGAATTGTGTCCATGATTCCACCTTCCATTCATGTACCAAGAACAAGTGACAGTTGCAATTTGAATGGGAAATTTGAGAATGTGTCTGATGCCTTCATTAGAGATTTTTAATTAAGAAAATCACATCTTGTTCCACAGAAAAGTTTCTTGCACAATATTGTAATGGGATTGGAGAGTTTCTTCTAATGAGATTTTTAGAACATGTTTTTTACAGGATTTCTGCTGGGACTTGGAAAAAAGTTATTACTAAAAATTTTGTGTAAAAGTACTTGTTGTAACAAGAGCTACTGTAATAAGATTTTGAAAGTTGATGACCAGAAAAAATGCATATGAACAGTTGAATCTTGCTTTTCTGGAATTCTCTCATTTTTTTGTGGAAACTTGAGTGATTGTGTGAAATAATTATTAATTTGTATTATGCATTCCATCAATTGCACCAATCGCTTCATTCTGTGAGGATGATGCGTGGAACCACTTGCAAGCATGTTTGTCATTGATTACACCTTCCATCCATGCTACAATAAGAACCAGTCAGTCACATTTGGGATCAGAAATTTGAGACTGTGCCTGCTTTAGTCAGGAAATTATTAGCCTGAAAAATCCGTTGAACATACCCGAGAAAAATTTTCGTACTGGGACTGAGAAAGACTGTTCCAACATGTACTCCATTGATTTTCTGCTGGGGCTTGGGGAAAAAAAGTTTGTTGTGCAGAAAACATTTTTGTACAGCAATATTTGTTGTGAAAAATTTTAACGTGTTTTGTCATATTTCTGCTCTTTTTTTCATCGTATTCAATCATTTAATGATCGTATATGTTGTGAAGGAAACATGTAATGGATTGAGAGTGTGATGTTAAAAACTGCAGTGATGTGGAACGCGATTTTTGTTTCTGTGTGGTCGGGTTCAAAGTCAAAATTTGACGAGATGAGTTTACTTCTATCATTGAGCTGTTCATCTTTTCCGAAATAAGACAGGAATGTTATTCGATGTCCAGTTCTCAAGTAGCCGATTTTTTCTAGAAACATTTCAAATTCATGCTCCTTCTAAAAGTAGTCACTTCTGTACCTATCATTAATCGCGCCTGTTTCAGATTTTCAAGCTTTCATCAGTTCGTCGCCCTTTGCGTTTTCAAGTGGCTCTATTTTAACCAAGAAAGAGTCTTTGTGCTGCATTAGTAAAATGAAAATCTCTTGATTAACGTCACAGGGAAGTCTGGTCTGTTCGTTTTCCTAGCATCCGAAGAAGTGAATAAATTTTGAATCAAAGTACGCTACTTCCAAATTTTTGTGTTTCTGATGACAGACAGCCTTTTATGAATATTCGATTCGCCATGAATTCGGAAAGAAATATTTTGTTAAAATCTGATCTTGTTTTTGTTGTTGTTATGGTTTCAGTCCTTCCTTCTCACTTGCCAAACTGAAAGAGAAGAAGGAATGGTCGGAAGGTTCCTATCTTCTGCGAGAATCTGCAACGGAATACGATACATTTCATCTTGACGTGTGCACTGTAGAAGGGTGAGTATGATGCGACTGGTTGGTATTATCATTCTGTCAAAGCCTCAGCCCTGATTCTTTCTTCCTCAGCCGACAGCCGCAGACTTTCAAGATTGTGAAAGTGGATAGCAAGTATCAGCTGAAGGGACACGACCAAGACGGAGTTCAGTTTTTCGACATCAAGGAGTTGATCATGCATTACTCGTCCAAAGAACTTCAGGACGCCCCGTTTGTTTTGAGTGATGTTGTTCCTCCATCTGAATATGGTGAGATGCAGTACCGCTGAATTCAAGGAAGTTCGCTGAAAATTACAGTAAAATCTTGTTACAACACACTTCTGGGACTTCGGAAAACGTTCGTTGTACTGTATTGAATAAATTGTTGGTTTAAATTTTCAAATTGAATGACTGAGAAAATTGTTCACATGAGAAGTGCCTATAATCTATCGCACTGTTCAACAATTTTGGGCCCGTGGACCAACAAATTCCCATAAAATGTTTGCAGACCAGCAAATTCCCGAAAAATTTTCTGCAGACAAGCGAAGTTTCTTAAAAATTTGCAAACTCAAATAAATTTTGCTTGTGAGACTTGATGGCAGGTACCGTATTTAAAAAGTTCTTGCTTATTTGCAAAAATTAAGATGAGAACCAATGAAGCAGATTTACTTGGATGTCATCAAAAAATTAGAAAGGTGGATTTGAATAAAGTTTCTCAGAATGAAAAATTCAAATGCAGTCATTCAATTCAGCAGATGAAAGATTGTCTAAAATGTTATTATTGGAGAAATGCCAAATTTCGGTTTTAAATCTGATAATTTCAATTGTATTTCTACAGATCGATGCGACGATCTGCTGTTGTGTCGAGGCCAGACAGGAAGTGCACCTCAAACGAATGGGTCTGCGCCGGATCACCTTGCACCTGTAGCTGATGTTTCGAATGCGGAAACACAACCGCTGATTATCCCCGTCTCTGCGCTGATTAGCTGTAAATCCTTTTGGTTTCTGGTTTTTTTCGTACATTGATGACGGAATGAAAAGAATTTCCAAGTTTACAGTCGGCGTGGATCCGTCGGTGAGGCGAGGAAGGTTCTGTATGATCAGGAAAGCCAAGTGGTATCATCCAGTTCGAAAAAATTTGGTGGACGTTGCTGTGAAATATTTGACGCAGGACGTTTCACTAGCCGATATGAAGGTGAATTTGAGTTTCCAAAGCTGACGTGTTACAGTCGGATCTCTCCAAGTCGAAAACCTCCCTAACTCGAATTCATTTCCTTGTCCCTGTCCGAAGTCGCTTTGAAACAGTAAAACCTGAGCCTCCTTAATGGAGAATGTTCAACCTATGAACCTTTGTGATTCGAAGTCTTTGAAGACTAAGAAGGACAGGAAATTCAAGCCTGTGGCACATTTAAGTGGTTTAAAAATGCACTACTAGATGCAAGGAAGGAAAATCAGAGTGCTGAGGGACTTGCGCAGCCTCGTTGCAGTTTAATTTTAAGATTAACCTTTATATTTTATCGCCTTTAAAAGGAAGAGAACGGAAACGTCATAGTTTGCTTGAATGTTCCCAAAAGACTTCGTTTACTCTCGCAGGTATCAAAAAAGAAACTACCACACAACACGATCAGCAAATAAAATCTCGGAGAAGTTCGTGGCAAAACTCGTTAGCAGTGCCAAAGAAGAATTTTTGCACATGATATTATCACTTGAATCACAGTACACCAAAGCGCAAATCCAATAATTGAATTTTCGATTTCATATTATAATTCAATATATGACCTTGAAAATTGGGAGCAATCCTACATTGAAACTTAAAATGTTTCCTAACTTTTTTGCGATCACATTAAAATAACGATTTGATGTTACAGCCTAATTCATTATTTGACCTAGAAAATTGTACGCAATCCAAAATTGAATCTTAAAATGTTTTCTTAACTTTTTTGCAACCACACTAAAATCAATCCAACTAATGGATCTTGGATTATACCCATTTTTGTCAAAAAATTCCTTATTTTGTGATTAGGACGCACAATTTACTAAAAAGAATTACAGAAAGATTTCTATCTCTTTGGTGTACAAGAATGTGGTGCAACAGTGACTTCAAAATTCAGTACCGAGTTTAGCTTTTCATGAATGACTTTAATTCTGCAAAAGATAATACATTTGGAAAGGAAGAGGAGCAACTTCAGTTGGTCCGTAACATCTCATCTTGAGGTTCTGCATCCGTAAGACTCATTTATGCAGCACTCTTCTGTGGTTAGTCTTTTTTGTGCTGTGGGAGTAATCAAGGAAGTGCTTCTGGAATCTGGACACACTACACACAGTTTCAGAAAACATTCCGACTCCAATTATTTTAAATTTACAGCAAGCCTTTTCAGGCCTAAGTGGAATTTTTGTTGTTGCTCCCTTCAAATTCGGATTTGAATGGTCCGACTGTAATACGTTGTCTTTTTTGGTGTGTGTTGTGTGAATGAATATCAAGTGGCAAACGCATTTTCAGGCATTTTTGAACATGTGCAGTGTCGTGTTGACGTGGAAGCACGTGTCCTTGCTTCCATTCCACGGGGTTGTGTTGTCTGATCCGTGCTCGTTGATTGGCGAGTGGGCACCACTCGGTTCCTTCGACGTTTACTTGAGAAGCAACAAGACGAAGCTGAAGCAGGTGGAACTTTCCGAAGCGGCAACTGCGATTGTGAAGGCAATCAATGAACTGGTGTGTGTCTTGACCCTCTTTTCCTCTCGTCAATGCGCGAAGTGTTATTGATTTGCTGTGTTTTTATTTTCATTTTTCTTTTAGCATGATATGAACATAGTTCATGGGAAGATACGTTGCAGAAACATCCTGGTGTTTGCGCACACCGACAGACAGCTGCAGGTCAAGCTAGCAGACCCAGGATTGACTGTTGTCGACAAGATCGAGTTCGTTTTTTAAATTTTATTTCGGTGAATTACTGTACGTTATTTACTGGGTTGCCACTTGCCCCTCAAGTAAGTCGCCCACCCGGGTTTTAATTGAAAAAGGTTTGATGAAATTGTATCTTCGAGTAAGTCGCTCACCCCTTCTTGAATGACTCGAACAGTCAAAAGTGCAATCATTTATTGTTAAATTTACAACACCTAAATTTGAATTTAGACATGCATTGATCCTGAATTAAACCAATTGTAATTCTATTCAATTACGTGAAAATTAGTTTTTCTCGTAAAATGATGCCAAAATTCCCCACTAGAATCAAATATAATGCGCACCTAAGCTTCTGAGATTTTAATAAAAATGCATACCTGCTTATGATGCGCATCCTCCTTCTCTCCTCTTGAATTTTACAGAAGAGGTGCTTTTGTTACTTGAGTGAATACAGTAGTTGTTTATATTGTGTTGGTTGTCCAAATATTGCCACTGCTATGATGAAGTTGATGCATGTTTCCCACCATTTTATCACAATCAAAAACATTTATTCAGTGTTGTTGTTTGTCCCTGCACATTCTGTGGAACTAAGCAAGGGTGGGACTAAATCAACAATATTGTATGTGAGGAAAGTCAAGTTCTGGGTTTTTACTGTAAGCCAAATGAGCTTGTTTCTTGAAATTTTAAGGACAATGAGGCTTTAAGAGGGAAAGCAAGAAATAATTTGAAGCTCAAATGTACTGTTTTTGTACTGTATTTTAATTTATTAATGCGAGGTCTGTTTGAGTTTGAGTTTCACATCATGTAGGAATTATCGATGTTTCCAGCAAAGCTCCGACTTTATTTAAAGATGTTCAATTGATCAGCAATTTAATATCAGAAATGGATTCTTCAAAATAATCTTGATTTGTTGAGCACTTGATTCTCAGTAATAACCCGATGATATCCCTAGAAAAAGGCCATACTTTCTTTAATCTTTGCCCGTTTTTCATTTAGGACAAACCGTTCATTGTGGCACTGATTGAGTTGGCACTAAATCTTGCTTTCCTCAAAGAACACAGTGTGGTGAGATTTGTTCCAAGGTAATTTGTGGCACTGTGAAAAGGTGGCGCTAAATCACGGGTTGACTGTATGTGTTACTAATGTTCGTGGGTAGATGTCACTTGTAATTCAACTCACATTGCATATATGCCCCCCGATCGGGCACGCACCAGAACTCACCCGCACAGAAATCAACTTTCTTGCTTTCCCTCTTCCCGCTCCCTGCGCTTGGCGGTCTGCCCCCACCAAGGCACCTAGTCTATCCTTGGGTGACAGACCCCCACCAGCAAGAAGCTAGAGGGAGCCGCCGTTGACAACTTGGATAGCAACAAACGAAATAACAAACAAATAAGTTGCACCCTGACTATATACTTCTGCCCTGAAAAAATAAATAAATGGGATAGCAACAATAACTTGCACAGTGCAATAATTTCTCATGCACTTTTTTGCATATAATTTTTTCAACTCATTTATTACAGATTGTTTCTTGTCTGGAGGGAGTTTGATAATGCAGCATACGCTAATTCCATATAGAGCAATGACTATATAGTACAATGCATGGTCTGCTGTCAAGCAGTTACTGTATGCTGGATGCCAGTATATTTTATATCATCTGAATAACAGCATTCAGAGGAGGTGCTGTGAGCCCTCGGATTTTAAAAATTCTTTAAAGGATACGGATTTTGCGAGTGAGGCTGATCTTAACACGCACGGTCGCTTTCAAGTGAATATTGAAACAGAAGGGCTCCGCTCCTGACTCTCTGTCCTTCCAATAAGGAATGCATTCCTTATTAGAAGGACAGGGTTGGAACCCTTAACTATATAGGATGCTCAAATAAATAGCTCCCTCTAGCTCCTTGCTGTTGGGGGTCTGTCACCCAAGGAAAGACTAGGCGCCTTGGTGGAGGCAGACCGCCAAGCACAGGGGGCGGGGGGTTGATTTCTGTGCGGGTGAGTTCTGGTGTATGCCCCTCCGATCATAGTGAATTGCAAATGCGTTAGAGTTGTTGGTTGTGTGCGCATGTACATTTTTTGCATTGCCAGCACAAAAAGGATTTTTTTTTAAATAATGGAGACCTGAGTTTGTTCCTTCTTTTCTCGCTGCGGTCATTGATTTTGGCTGCGAGCTATTATTTCATCATGTTCATTATAATCTTCTTCATGTTCAGGTATCCGTGGATTGCCCCCGAATGCATGAGAGACGTCCGTAAAATCTGGCGGTCGAAATCTGCCGACGTGTGGGCCTTTGGTACGACGCTGTGGGAGATATATTCTTTTGGCAAGAATCCGAGTGATTTTCATCGCGGACGGCCGGAAGATTTTGCGGTGACTTCGCTCCCGACCCCGGAAGGATGTTCCGTTGTCATCTGTAAAACTATTGAGAGGTGTTGGGATCTGGACCCATTTGCCAGAGGAGTTCCACAGGATCATCTGCGTTCTCTGTTTCAAGTAGGGTCTTGAAAAACAAAATCACTACTGCACTACACATCTTCTTAGACCCTTGGTTAACAAACTTTTCATTGTCAAAATTTTGTCCTCAAAGAAAGATCCCTTAACCAAAATTCTGTTAACAAACTTTTGTTCGCAGGAAAAAATACCGAAATAGGTTATGACATTCAACTGAAGGGTAGAATCCAAAGGAAAGTTACAGTGGACAAATACAAGCCACCAAAAACAAAATTTAGTTATACCAAAGGCTAACTCAAAACTTTTTCAAGTTTGATATACGGTACATCAAGTGAGTAAAATGAGATGTTCCATGGTTTCAGCAGAATAAATTGAACAAATGATATCCAGCTGCTGTTGGAGTTGTGGACAAAGGAATTTCCGAACAGATTTTCTTGTTCTTTCCACTGCCCAACTGCCGAATTTCTTCTTTATTTATAGCATTGTACTGTAAAATAAACATTCCATTTTGTGGTGACAGTTTTCCTCCTACTCATATGTTAATTTTTTTCTGGGTGTAAAGATTTTTGAGTTGTTTTCAATAGTCATATCTCAATCCAACCCTACACAATCTTGTGGATGCACACAGGATGCTTCAGTAACTCCTTCTGATGAAATATTTGTCCTGGTTGTTTTTTTATTTTCATCAAGTTTGCAATATTATTTTGGATGCCAGGAATGGATTGATTGGTTCTCCATTGACTTCTATGGGAAAATCAAATTCGGTTAACAAACTTTTGCCTGGACCCAATCAAGTTTGTTAACTAAGGGTCCACTGTACATGAGGTTTGAAAGAGTTTCAAGAAATTTGCTCGATTCTGACCGAAGAGCTTCTTGAAGTAAAAAAAATGCCGATCTTTTTTGTGATGCTTTGATTGAAGAACCCCCAGCATCCCAAAGTTGAAATGTAGCTAGCAATAATTGTGGTGTGCAGTGTTCAGGAGTTTTTGGTGGAAGCCGCAAAGGCGATGTAAAATGTCAGAAAAAGAGTTTTGGGAATATTTGTTTCTAAAATCAATATTTCAGAAGAGAATTTTGGTCAGCTCATTAAATCAGTCGAACTGAATGTCATTTGTGTTAAGAACGAAATAGTGGTAGTGGCATCTTAGCTTTTTGCGATTTTTTCCGAATTCTACGGATTTTCTCACGTATTAGAGAATTGGTCGCATTACTGAAAACGAATTGTTCATTTCAGGCTCTTTTCCGAGCCAATAATCAACCGATCGTTGGTGTGGCCAAGGCCAGCGCTCATAGTACCATGATAAACTATGGAAATTCCTCCAGCGTTACCAAAATGACGATGTTGGACGGAAGTGACTTGGATCATTGGCAGGATTCGTGTTCACTTTTGCCAATAAGGCATTTGTCTGGCGGAGGAGCAGTGAGTGCGACTTTAACACTTTATTTCTTTCTTTCTCTCTCTCTCTATATATATACAGTATATATATTTATATGTAAGTATATGGAGTTCTTGATTTTTATTTCAGGATGAATCTATTTATTTCGACATCAACTTCGAACTACCTGCTCAAAGTATCCACGCCATGGTCTTGTCTCAAAGCGACGTGAAAATCGAGCAACAAATTGGTCGAGTGAGTGATTGAAAAGTTTCTTTTTTACCTGATATCATCTTTGGTTGTGACGAGGGAAAAGGAGGTTGAGGACACTGAACATTTCCATGGAATAGATACACATTACGGTCGGACCTCTTTTATGTTAACCTTCCGAGTCGAAAACGTGCAGTACTTGACTCGAATTTTTCTTTAGTCCCTGCCGAAATTCATTTTAAAGATTAGACCTGAACATCGTTGAGTCGAAATGTTCAAACTGTGAACCTTCGTAGCTCGAAATTTTTGAAGACAAGGAAGGACAGGGAATTCAAATTTGTAAAAATGTTGGGGAGGAAAATTAGCAACTTGGAATCTGGGCTTGAGATTGCGCATCCGGTAGACGCATTTATATTCGAGTTTCCTATGGATAGCTTTTTTATGTTGTCGGAATAATTAAGGAAATGCTTTTTGCACATGCTACTGACACTTGCATCACAATTTTAGCCTCAATGACTTCTTTAAAAAAATTTACAGCAAGTATTTTCAGACTCAGTTTCTCCAGCCTCTCGAAGTCGAATTTTATTGTTTGTTTTTTCAAATTCGACTCGAAAAAGTCCGACTGTATAAGACGGGGACACTTCCAGTCCGTATTATCACTTTTTTGCATTTCATTGCGCGAGAAACACTGGATATTTATATTCAATTTTATGAAATTGAAGTTTTTTTTATTAAATGAGAAAAATGCATTTACAGTTCAGTATTTTCTTCTTTCAGGGTCAATACGGTGTCGTTTACAAAGGAACTTTGAATTCTCCGGGAGGCTTCAAGCAAGAGGAAGTTGCTGTGAAACGTTTGCATTCCATGTGTGGCATCGAAAAGATTCGTTCGGAGTTTATGAAAGAAATTGCCATCACGAGGGTACTTAACAGCAGTTGATGATAGTTAAAATTGTGACTGTTATTTATCGATTATTTATTATTTTTTTGCAGGAATCGCGTCATCGAAACATTGTGGAGGTGAAAGGCATTATTGAGGACCCACTTTCTTTGGTTTTGGAGTACATCCCTCACGGGTCCCTGGTTCAGTACGAAACGGAGCATAGATCCGATCTCACGGAAGAGCAGTTGCTGCAATTTTCGCTGAATATCGCTGAGGTACGGATTTGGACCCGAGGAAGTTTTTATTTCGATCGATTTGAGTGTGAAGTGACTTTCTTTGGATGACGTGAAAAGTTTCGCACGTTTGGCCAAGCATTGCGTCTTGTACGTGTGATGGCACAGCATTTTGATTACGGTACTAATCGTTGTAATTGCATGAGGGAAGTGTGGGGAATTTAATGCCCCGAGGAGGTTGTGTTTTCATCTACTGTATCTGACGCGGGTTTACTCTATAGGGAATGGAATTCTTGGCACGCAACAAGATTGTTCATCGGGATTTGGCCGCACGAAACGTTTTGGTTGCACAACACGATTTGGTGAAGATCTCCGACTTCGGTTTAGCCAGAAGGATAAACTCTGATGGAGACAGAGCGAATTCCGCCGACGGAGACTATTATATCCTCCAGGATCTGACTCGGAAACTTCCTGCTCCTTGGTTAGTGAATATAGCGAAGGCTTCAGGTTTACTCATAGTGATACAATTGAAAAAAGTGCGTTTTCAAAATTGATGACGGAACCTGTCTGAGTCGATGTTAATTTTTTTCAAGTCCCTTTCTGATATCCCTTACAAAAAATGTATTGAAAACCTCCGTAAGTCAAAGGTTTTTCCCGTTCAAAGATCATAACTAGAATTTTCTGGAGGCCCTTTGGCTAATGTTTTATTGTTACAGGCAAGAGAACGCAAGTAAGAATGTTACTCGATGCATTTTGAAAGGAAGTGAAAAGGCCAATTGGGCAAATGAACCCTTACCTCCTAGTTCAGCATCTTGTCAGCTTATTCAACAAGCAATTTAAGGCATAGAATATCGCCGAATACAATATCCTGTAATTTTCTGTAACCCTGAAAAAACCTTTGAAAGCTTTCTAACTGTAATTTCCGCTTTATTAAAAGAAAAATTTTCTTTTTTCTTTTAATCTGGGCTGCAGGAGAAGTTCAATTTGCAATTGCCAGAGGAAAACTTGGATGTCTCAAACATAGCAAGCAGGCAAAAAAGCTAACTGAAGCATTGCTCGTTTTTTCCCTATATGAAGCATGAAACTTTGAAACATGTTCCATCAACACATTCCCAATTGCTGATTATCCAATTCACTTGTTTGCTGTCTGGGAAATAATTCTGTATGTAATTGCATTTAAATTGTAAATCTATGCTACAAATATTTATAATCATATATTTGTAACTACTGCATGAAAAGCACTTCTGAGTTTACTCAAGAGTTTATGTTTTGGTGCACTTGATGTGCCACTCTACCTAAAATTTGGTTGCCATCAGAATACCTCTCTGAGAGTTCTCATTTCTATTTTTCTGTGTTGCAATAAACTATTTTGACACCAATTCGGATTAGTTGCTGTTGGCATCCAATGATGACCTTGTTGGACCAAAGCTGTAAATGTGCAAGGCTAGCAAAACCGTGTAAGCCTCTCTCCCAGACTTTTGTCCTGAAACTTTGCGCTAAATTGCTCCGCTCTTGCACAAATCAAATCTCGTTTAATCAAATGTATTAATGAAAGAACTTCCGAAGTATTCACTCAAAGTATTCTTATATTTTTCCAAAGGGGTTCAGGAAATGATTTAAACCTTTGAGAACCCTAGAAGTTACTTGAGTTGTGTTGGATGAATTTCAAAATAAATTTGCTTGTTAGCCGTTGAAGTATCAAAATGTATTTGTTCCAGCAAATTGAGATTCGGTTTGAACAACATTGCAGAATTAATTACAACACACCTGTAATTGAACTTTTTCTCTTTCTCCCAACACAAATGCTTGTATCCCTGACCTCCTTGAGTTGATTTTTTTTTTTGTCGTTGCTTTTGTTTTGAAGTTGGACTTCAATAAAATGTATCTCGTTCCTCTATGTTCCTCACACAGGCAGTCGTTGGAGAACTTGAAGGACCAACGATTCTCGACCCGCTCGGACGTGTGGTCCTTCGGTGTGACCCTGTGTGAGATGTACTCTGGCTGCCAGATGAACGTGTCCCTGGTGCAGCCGTCGAACGATCCCGAGATGGTCATCGAAATGATCAAGGCTTTGGAGTCTGGGAAACGGGTTCCATGTCCTCAATCGCCCAACGCGCGCATTTCCGCGGAACTAGTGCGTGTAGTCTATGAGAACGTGGCGTTGCGATGCTGGCAACTGAATCCGCACGACCGCCCCTCGTTTCCCTCGCTGGCGGCGCTCTTTAGGGACTACATAATTAAGTGGAAGGACACGGGGCGGGTTGCGTGAAAACCACTGGTGTTTGGTTTTGTCTTTTGTTTTTGTCTCTCGAGTCGATCTAGAGTTTTTATAATTGACAGTCGAACCCTCGAGAATCCGTCGCCATTTATTTTGTGAGGTTCGTGGCGGTGTAAAAAAGGGTTGGTGGTTCATTTAAAAAAAGCTTAAATACCGTATTTTCTCAAAAGAACGCCTGGTCACCAACAATAGATGCCAGTCTCTTTGATAGAGACTGGCATGGGTGTCAGAAAAGCTTGAAGCATTAAGTGATAGCCAGTCTCTAATGCATGTGGTACCTTGCAATTTGACATCCTGCAATTTGTCAGTCAAATTTTCTGCGGAGTCTACTTGAAATTCGACCTCTGCCCTGCAATGTGACCGAAAGAGAGACGTGAAACATCAAATTTGATGCAGAAAACATAGCATTAGATGGAGTCCTGCAATTCAGCCACTTCACAATTTGACCCTAGCCCAGTTCCAGATTTGGGTCAAATTGTGGGGTACCAACTGTAGTAGCCAGGTCAAAAAAGGGAGGGGAGAGGTTGTTTGAAAAACCACAAACAATTATTGTAATACAAAAAATCAGTGAAGCCCGTGTATGAGATGCTGAAGAAGGAAACCCTTTCCCATTATCAATTTGTCATGCATTCCTGTCTCATTTTCCAAGAAAAAGTTGCAATTGAAGGGCTTGTAACATTTGTCACCTGGGTTTATCCCAAATTTCTTCTCTTTCTTNTGAAAAACCACAAACAATTATTGTAATACAAAAAATCAGTGAAGCCCGTGTATGAGATGCTGAAGAAGGAAACCCTTTCCCATTATCAATTTGTCATGCATTCCTGTCTCATTTTCCAAGAAAAAGTTGCAATTGAAGGGCTTGTAACATTTGTCACCTGGGTTTATCCCAAATTTCTTCTCTTTCTTCCATTTTCTTTTCTTGGACAGTCTTGAATTTCTAAATATCCACTGGTCTCTGAAGCTGGTCTATCAAAAGTAATGCCTGCAGAAAAGTCGTAATATTTCAAGTAAATGCTACGGCGTTCATTGGAGAATAAAGGATAACATGATAATGAACCCGGAAAGGAAATAAAATGCTTATTCTCCAAGAAAACGATCAAAAAACCGCTGGGATGCATAAATTATTTCAAGCTAATGTTCCCAAGAAGTAAATCATGTCATCTTTGTGTTCGTGCATTTTTTTTTTTAAATTGGAGACCTTTTGCGGAAACTCTAATCTTGGTGGTGGGATTACAGAAAGAAAATTAATTGTGAGGAGCATATTCCAAGTGTCAATAATTTTGGCGGATGGCGTTTTAAGAAGGGGTTTCCAATGCTTTCATCGTTAGAAAAGTTTTGTTTTTCAAAAGAAATTGGCACTTGTCAAGGGGGCGTCTTAACGGGGTTTGACTGTATCATTAATTATTTATTTATTTTCTTGGCACTCTGTAGTTTTATGTCATGTGAGGCGACCCTGCTCGTTGTCGTTGTTGAAGGGCTTGATTTTTTGTGCATTTTTTTTTTGCGAGACGCTTCATGCTGATAATGTGAACTTATGGAATACGGAGGATCGGAGATTTTTTTTTGAGTAACACTTGCTTTCGCCAGAATGTGCAATACCTTAGTCTGCGGGACTGTATTTTTAAAGTTTTTCTCGTTTGGGATAACATTTAATGATTGATTCAAAGGGGATAATGTGCTAATGATTTTGTGACATGTTGTATCACCAAGAGTTGTGATATCTGTCCAGTTTATTTCTTTTCCTTCGACAGTATGTTGTATCACCAAGAGTTGTGATATCTGTCCAGTTTATTTCTTTTCCTTCGACAGTAATTCATTTCGGAGCTGGGTGGAGGCCGATTTGACGAGAATTACCCGTTTTTGTCAATCCTGACAAATGCTGAAAATGTGGCTGAGGTTCGACCCCGTCCGGCTTGAGCATTTATAATGGGGTTGAAGGAATGTTGTGATACGATTTTCTCCGTGCACGTTAATGGACGACGCAATAATGATATATTTGCATCACAAGGTACCGCCTTCTTTTTTTTCAAGAGTTTTGCAATTTTTGAGAAAGAAACGAATTTTGGCTTGACTTTTTTTTGGGTGAGGGCTGGAATAGGTCAGGGGATCCTGTTGAGAACAGCAGCCTTTTAATTGTGTTGAACCTGAATAAGGCATGTCTTTCAAGATGAAACTCGGTGTGTTTAGAATGGTCACCTCTACAAAACATCGGCCAAAAGTGAAATGCTGCAGTTTTAAAAGTATATGGAATTTATAGTTACGAAAGCTCCTACAGTTCTTTTATGTAAATGAGCAGTTCAGTGAACTTGATGATTCTGAAAGATTCGAAAAACTCTGATTTCCGCTGACACAGAATGAGCGTCTTTTCTGCCTTCATTTGTATTGTGCTCAAAATAAATTGAAATACTGTATTCTTCAGTGGTTGAAGTCAATACAGATGTATTTCAGAAATCATGACTTGAGCAATTGAGTTCATAGGAGAGACTTGATTACAGTGCAACCCCAACCAATGGACAATTCAGGTTAGGGACTCTTGAAACTAAAAAAAATCTGTCCCAACGTCTAGGCAGCAGTAATTTGAGATATGGACAATTTTCCAAGATTTCAGGAAAACTTCTTTTTTTTCGAAATTTAGGTATTTATTGAAGATATTGAGCTACAGTATTTACATTTAAAAGTGCTGAATGGAATTTCATTACCAATCTAGAACAGGCTAATTTTGTGCTTTTTCTTTGTTTTTGTTTTTCATCATGTGTGCTCAGTCTAGCAAGACTTATTCCTGCTCCTTGCTTCTTGAGCTCTGTCTGATGCCAAAAGATCAGATTCTGTGTGCTTTTTTGAATGAATGAATGAACAGAAAACTTTATTTGCCGCTTTTCAGCGTTCACAAGGTACAACCAAAACTCCCGCATCCAAACCCGAACCAAAACTCCCGCATGTGTTATTTTTGTAAATTAATATTTTGTATCTGAAAGTTGAGAAGAAATGCGTCAATTTTTTGGGAACTTTTGCTCAATTAATGATCTTCTGGAGAATTAATTAAAAATACTCCCATTGAAAATCGGTGGGAAAATGTGGTCCAATGTGTGGATGTTCCAACATTGTGACAGAGCCCATGTACCAACCATGTCTGCATTTCAGGGTCCCACTATACCCACCATACAGTATTTGCAATCATGACAAAACAAAGAAATGTCAGTAAGTGTCTTGAATAGTCATCTAATGACTTTTCTGTAACTTCCACCAGCCATCTGTCTTATTTAATATTATTGTATCTGCTTGCTGTGAGTTTTAGAATCACTCTATTTCCAGGTAAAGTAGTTTGAATGAAAGAAAAGAAAATTTTCAAAATGACGCACAATGAATGTTGTAATTCTGTCATCCATAGTTGATGGTGCAAATTTCAAGCTAATATTTTGTCTTAATTTCAAAGTGAACAGCAGACGTGTTGAAGCAATTTGCAATCAGTGAATGTCAAATAAGAAATAACACAATACTTCCTTCTTGTTAAGATTGATTTTATGAGGGAATTGTTTATAAGGAGAAAAAGGATGTGTCACTAAAAATGTGCCATTTTGCATGAGAGAAAAATCTGGACCTGAATTAACTTGTCATTGTCTGCAAAAGAATGACTTCTTCTTTCATGACCAGTGTTGCCAAAAAGAATAAGATGATCAATCCTTGAACAAAATACATGGGGTGCATGGTGCTCAGGTTGCTGGAATTTGTGCTAAATTGATAATTTGCTAGTGAGGTTATGGCCATTTTTTGTGTGTACATTTTGGGAGAAAATTCGTGAAAACTTGAGGAAAAAAAGAGCCGCCATTATGAAAGCTGAAAAAATACGTTTAATGGAAATAAGTACTGTATGTTTCCCATGAACTATTGTATGGTTGAAAAGTGTAGTCGTGAACCATAATGACATTACACAATAAACACCTTACAAAATATCTATGTCATGTGTTAATACAAGTACTTCAGAATAAATATAAAGTCATATATACGACGCTCCGAATTTAAATTGGCAATCACCAGGGGAAACAATTCAATGTCTCGAGTACAGAATGACTGAAATCATTCAAGAAAGCAGACCAAAATCGATTTTTGAAATCCAGCATCCAACTTGGCAACGTGTTCAGCATGTTCCCAGCAATCACTATAATTGATTGTACAATTCTTGCGTTTACTGTATGTATGATATGGAAAAGAAGCCTTTTATTGTGTCACAATTTTAATCTCTACAACAAAAATTAAACAAAAGTGCACGTTAGTGGTTCTTGGTCATCAACCCAATGCAGTAAAATTCCATTGCAATAAATCTCCAGAGGTCCATTTTTTGTTAACAATTGTTTTCTTTGTCCCAGGAGTTTCTTAATAGGGCCAATTAGTTATTAAAAAGATTTGTCATAACCAACTGTAAAAGGAGATCTTAGAGTTATATGACATGTTAGTGAAGTCGGAACTAATACGCACGTGAGATCTTTAAACATGATTAATAACCGTGTTATACCCTTTTGGGTTGGACACATACTAACATCTTCGAATCAAAACTCTAAGTACTAATCTGTTCATGCATAAAATTTTATATATGTAGCTCAAATCTTCACTCATTTAGCTTATCCATTTTAAAATTTAGAAAGGGCTAATTTTTGAAAGAAAAGTATTTTTGGGCTAATATTGCTCTATTTCAGGCTTGTATGTAAAAACTTACTTACTTACGAGTAGAATTCGTCCATAAAAGACAAACTAAGTCGAGAGTAAGGAGTTATTCTAACCATGTAAATATATTTTAAATTCTTTCGCTCCCAGACTTTATTCTTAATTTTATTTTGAATTTTGACTTTTTTTATTAATTCATAAACAAAGTTTGAAATTGGGGCAATTTTCACATACTGTTTTGGTTGTGGAAGTACTCTAAAGCATCCATTATTACCTTTTCCTAAATTTCAGTCATTCATACATTCATTTCAAAAGAGCTATGAACCTTGTTGAAAGGGATTTCTTGGTGTAACACGTTTTTTCTCAGTCCCATATATGGGAGTTCATTGTAATGCGATTTTACTGTATAGGACTCAAAGTTTTGTGATCATTCAATACGTGTCCTCTGTAACAGCAGCAATCTACATCATATACACAATTACTTGTCATAGTCATGACCAAGGCGGACATTCTTTACCGCATCTGGAAACCGGGTAATATAGGCCTAAGCGTCCGTTTCGTGTACATTCTGCCGTGAAGACCTAACATGGGTATACTCATACCTGAATACCCATAGCCTTCATCATAGCCATAAGGAGGCACTGCTGCTGGTTGTGGACCACCATATCCTCCACCATATCTAGGACCACCACCACCACCATAATAAGGTCCTCCTCCACCATACCCAGCACCAGCTCCACCATATCGAGGACCATAGTTCTTCATATAGGTATGGAAATCAGGGTAATTCTGCCCAAAACTGCCAATGTAACCTCCACCTCCATAATATGGCATTATTGGAGCATTATATACACCACCACCATAACCTCCCCCTGCTGAGGGTGTCCCTGCATACATTGATGGTACTGGTGCATACGCTGTTTCTGCTTTTGCTTGGTAAGCACCCTTTGCTGGTGGTGCATAAGATTGTTGATAACCAGGTGCTTGGTAAGTTGTCTGTTGGCCAGCAGTATTGTAAGTGGACTGCTTGG